GTACCTTTTCATATGTTTTTTAATGTATACCTTTTCTTCTTATCTCGCTCATGCTGCATTCGCCATATGTTAGTATTCCTGCCTTCTGCTTGTTTGCTTACACTCTTGCCAATGCCGGGGGTCTTCACGGAAATAGCTGCTCTACTCATTTGGGGTAGAAGTCAGGGCTGCTACATTTCATCCTGCCCAGATCCTACTCTCAAGTGGGATTTACTCATAGACCATGGTGTCACTCATGCTAATTATTACATCTTCATTTTCACAAATAATGTACGTTGCTTATTCTAATTTTTGGACTATTCTTTTAGCTGTGTGGTCCAGATGTTGCTGTGTTTAAAGGCCATCAGTTGTCTAACACTGCTGAGAAATATCTCGCCTCACATGGGCTCAGTCGGGCAATATATTCTGTTGGTGTTTCTAATGTGCAAGGTGAACTTTTTGGCCAACTCCTTCCCTGTCCTTTTCAGGTTAGACAATTTCATTCGTTTAAATCCTTTTGGCACCTTTTTTTCTTTTATAATTCACTCTTCCAAAACATACTCAAGTTAAGGTGTTTGAGAAGAGACACCAAGTTGTCTTTGGCCACTTTGAGATGATCATATGGTCATGAGGTTCATGTCTTGTAAGAGATGTACCAATTTGATTACTAATTAATTTGTATATAAGATATGTGTATATATACATGGGGAGGTTCAAATGGAAACAACAAAAAGGTTGGAAATGTGGAACCAGATCTTAACCGTTATAGATGGATTTGAACCAAGGGATGTGATTAAAAAGGTGCTTAAAACTTTAGTTTTAATTCTAACAAGATCCCCACTCCCCGCGCCTATTTGTTTAATCAAAAGTAGACGAAATATAATCAAATTTGAAGCCAAACAAATTATACAAAAAACGAGAATTTTATTCTCTTTAATTTGACATTCGTATTACGTCGAGTATATATATACAACATTCACGCACGCTATATATATGTGGGTGTGTGTTGAAGCTTTAAAACCGAGGAGAACGGATAAAATGAAAGTGAACTACAACCTTTTGTGCTTGTTTGTTCTTTTTTTTTTGCTAGACATTGAACTCTATGCTAACAAATCTACACGAGCCTTATAGCGTTATTTTGTTATAACTTTATTTAATGTTGTCTTAATTCTTATGTCAAGATCATATTTATAGCCTTCTTTTACTCTGTCACATACCATATCTCATGTACAATATAACTTTGGTGTTACTCCCTTCGTCCCAAAATAAATCTCCACAACGAGAAAGGCACACAATTTTATGAATGTGTAATTATTACACTTTTTAATCGACGAAAGGACATGTTGACCCTTAATACTCGAGAGAAATTTTGTATCCTGTCTTATAATTAAGGGTAGAATGGGAAAGTGAACATTTACTTTTGTAAGTGGACACTTATTTTGGGACAAACTAAAATAGAAATGTGGGCAGTTATTTGGGACGGAGAGAGTATTATGTTGTTAGTTACAGTTTATATATTTGAGACATTTGATAACTTCCATCTCCATATTTCAGCAACCCCCTTCCATTAAAGATACAGTTGGTAGCAAGACTCCTGCTGAGAAGAGAATGAAGGTAATGCTTAAAAAGAAGTTGGTATAGTATTGCGTTTTCTTTATGGCAGAATTTAATTTTGGATTTTTTTTGTTGGATTTGTGCTTCACATTTAAGGATGGATTTTAACCAAGGTTCTAAATGCCGTGAGGTGTGGCGTGGCTGCAAGGTCAAGCCTCAAGCCTTACAAGTTAAGGCGAGGCCATGATGTTTTTAAAGGCGTGGCTTAAGGCGGCAAATCTATATAATATATATATATATATGTGTGTGTGTGTGTTTATGTCAGTGTCTTGAACAATTATGATTTAGTTATTAACAATTTAAAGTCATATAAAACGATAAACAAAAGAAGAACCATGAATTGATAATTTGATATCAAATATACAGAGTTTACAAAAATGATATCAACTATACCAAGTAAGTCGTTGTTTATAGTTCCTGTTTGGTAATCAAACAGCAAGATCAAAGTAATGAAGTCAAAGAATAGCAAATGAAAGTAATTGAATAATAACTTTTGTATGCTGAGAAGTAATTTAGGGTTTTCTCTTTTTCCCCATTTTGTTCATTAGTATTTGGCTCGTATAAACTATAAAGTTATGTTTACATTTACTCCTATTCAAGTTTTAAAAATTGCAAATTCCCCCATAGCACTTGTAATGCCATAAAGCGCCATGACAGGCCATGGCGGGCCATAATGAGCTCGACGCCTTATATCCACGCCAAGGGGATTAACGTGGCGGCAAGGCGGTGCCATGGCGCGTTTTTTAGAACATTGAATTTTAACTAGCAGCAGCCTAGTTTATGAGACAGCTAGTTTTTTTGCATTGAGATGACATCAGCTTGTCCCAATCATTTGAATCTAGGACGCCTTCGGTTTGGGGGATTTGGTGGGGTTTGGAACTGAAATCCATTCCAATCCTATGTTTGGTTTAAAAGAATTATTCCTGGATTCCAGTGAAATCCTGCAAACATGGGATATAGAAATCCCAAGGGAGTAGTTGGTAGGGATTTCATATAATTTGTTTGTAGTAATGTTTTAAAATATGTTAAAAGCACTTGTTTTGTGATAATCAACTAATAAAAAGGTAATTTAATTATTTTTATAAATTATTTATAAAGAACGGAATTCAATTCCATTCCGAGTCCTACAAACCAAACACACCAAAGATTCCAGATCCTTCCACGAAATCCAAATGTCTCAAAATCATTGTGTCAAACCAAATGGGCCCTAATAGGATTATAGGAATTCTGTTGGTTTACTTTGAAAAGTTTAAGATACATGTGCAATTTTATACTGTAAAAAAACCAAAGCGAACTACAACATGATCCCACTCTGAGTTGCGAATTTTGATTTGTTGTTGTTTATGCTGTTTCCATTCTACAGAAAGATGCTGGATCAACTTCTTTGTCAGAAGGTACTCAAAGGAAGTTCCCCGAAACTGAAAGCTTTATTGAGGCTCTACCAGTTTCTGCTCACTGTGTGAGTTTCAGACCATTGAGTCTCTGTCTTCAATTTCCGATAATTATAATTATCTTGCAAGTAACAAGTGATATCTTCATTATCACCTAGGTAGCTTGGTCTTATTCGCAGAAGCAAAAACTTGTGATAGTTAGGCAGTTCCCTCTGTTTGTAGGGACTTCTTGAGGTATGGGGGTTTCGATGCTACTCCCTCCGTCCCTAAATAAATGTCTACAATGAATAAGGCACACAGTTTTAGAATAATGTTAATTATTACACCTTTTATTTAACTAATGACAATTTTATTCTTAATAATAGAGAGAGTAATGAATTTCTCCATCTCATAATTAAGGGTAGAATTGGAAAGTAGATACTTTGAAAATGAACATTTATTTTGGGACAAACTAAAATAGAAATATGGATACTTATTTTCTGACCGAGGGGGCATAATGTATCATGGCCTACATCCCAAAAATAACAAGCTTGCGATAGAAAGCAGGTGTAATAATACATTAATACCAATAGGTGGAACAAAAATCAGGGAGACGGACAATTGGTTTATTACTAAACTATCCGTGTCAAATTAAAACCATAAAACCGTTCATAATTCTTTCACCCTCCTACCTCACTCTTGCCCGTACAGTCTAACCTTGTCCAGTTTGCATACCAAATGCACCAATAAGGAAAAGCTAGTCCTTTGTAGAGGTTTTTGTGTAGCAAGTACTGAGTAATACTTTTATGCCATCTTTGCCTTCGTGATACATTTAGGGGTTTTTTACTAAATTCTTACCATGGTAAACGCTTACCGATTCAATTACTTTATCTGTGAACATAATAAGGACCGAGAATCTTACCCGGTAAGAGGGAAGACATGGATCAAGAGTCTTAGCCGGTAAGTGAGGATGATGACTCTTACCCGGTAAGCGCTTACCGGTATAAACGCTTACCATTAATCTCTTCTAATGGTCGGGAATGTTACCCCATAAGGTAAGTGAGAGTGGTAACTCTTCCGGTAAGCGTTGAGTAAATGGCCCCTTAGTTATCTATACATACATACATACATACATACATATATATATATACATACATACATACATATATATATATA